ATCTGAAATTTTATAGATCTAATTTAATTATATGACAAGCTATATATGCTAAATATTTTTTGGTTATAATGATTTTTAATAACTTTCTTGTAAGAACTTGGGTAATTTCTAATGGACAATATTGGATCCTAATAAACTTGTTCACATTCATAAGTGATGTTAGAATGGGTCTGCTTAAGTAAAACATAATTATATTGGAAGGATACTGCACATTTTATAAAATCAAAGGAAGACCTAAGACCTAAATAGCCAGACCAAGTGAAGATGTAAAGACATTTCGGGATCTCAATAGTGATATTTTTTGTGAACAATTCCATTAGAACACCAGCATTGAATAACAAACAAGTTCAACTGTATTTTCTATCAGAGTTTCTACGTGAGATTCAAAGCCTGAGACACAGTTACATTTGCCTAGCTTAGGTCTTAATCGTCTCTCTGCATTAGAAATTACCCAAGTTCTTACAAGAAAGTTATTAAAAATCATTATAACCAAAAAATATTTAGCATATATAGCTTGTCATATAATTAAATTAGATCTATAAAATTTCAGATCAATTGCAAATTACAGAAGACTCTAAAATATTCTATTCTGTGAGTGCTTGATTTTGCTATATTTGGAAAAGGATATGGAGATGGTCAATAATAGTGTATCTGTGAAACTTGATGCACATAAGATAATGGATTGAAAGACTATCTGCCACTGAGTAACCAGGAAAAAAAATAGTACAGATTATTGGAAGATGATCTAGCAAATGGTTGTTTCTATAACCTTTAAAATTTTATGCTTAAACAAAATAGCATAGACAGGAAGAACTCAGAAAATTTTTCTGTAAATGTCCAGATAGTAAATATTTTCGGCTTTGCAGGCCATAAACTCTCTGTCCAACTACTCAGGTCTGTCATTGTAGCATGAAAGTAGCCACAGACAACATGTAAATAAACAAGGATGGCTGTATTCCAATAAAACCTTATTTACAAAATCATGAGGTATTCCATAGTTAGCTAACTCCTTGTATACACCAAAGTATGTGTACTTATACCGGCTTCTGTATCTGAGGTATAAGTTGGTATGCATGGTTTTGATGTGATTATAGTTTATTTATTTATTAATTGACTGAACAAATATTTTTGAGCCCCCCATTCTGCATCATACAGTGTGTCCAAACTCAGAGATAGCTTCAAATTATTCTAGAGACAAAAGTCTATGCCCTGAAGTATTATCCAATTCAAGTGATTCCTCAGATGAGGCACTAGAGAAATGGCTATAAAGTGCCAAATGTATATATAAATTACTTGATGGCAGTCAAAATTGGTATGCTGATTTTTGTTTTGGAAGTTTGGGTGTATGTGTCCCAGAATCTCTTTTCCTATCTACTCTAACAGCTAAGCCCAAGGCTTTCTTCTACTGTTTACTTTGCTTGTGTTGTGGTTTGTTGGTTTTGTTGTCTTAACAGAATTATGAACATAGATACATATTTAAACATAATAAAATTTCTATATAGTTTTCCCTTGAAATGTCCTATTATAATTTTATTGATCCAAGAGTTAAAAGGAAAAAAAATACTAGTTACAATTGAGCCTTGACATTTTATTAAACCTTCAGATTTGCTGGCATGCTTTGAGAACCCTTCTTCTATCAAAGTTCTTTTATGCTCTAATCTTGCCATTTAAATCCTGGTTGTAAGCAGACTCAGAGAAAGCTATATTAAGGGTCAAGATAAGGAAAGGAGTAATTACTTTCAACTCCATTTCAGAATCCCTTAACAATAATAATTGCTCACAAAGAAGTTCCAGCCCTCAAGTAGTCAAAAACAGATGCCTCTACTTTGGACATGTGGATAGCATTATCTTGTTTTAAAGATAATTTTGTAGCTGTGGTGGTGCTTAATCTATTTGATTATATATTCTTGATGCTTTTCATTGTCATCATTATCTTCCTGACAAAAAAAGTTCCAACCTGTTTATTCCTGTTTTGTGCCTCATTGATTTATTGTCACAAAGCAGTATTTAAGCATACAGATTACAAATTCTCAAATCATCATATTGTTTTGTTGGGCTTATAGCTTTAATTTTTAAGGTTAATCTTTTTTTTTCCAGCAGCTTGTGAGGGAAATGGTCATATGTATGAGCTACTGGGTTCAAGCATGTCATCTAAATATGTATCTGTCTTCTTCATTGGATATAGAGATCAGAGTCATTGCTAAAAGAAAACAAAAATGATTTATCTTCTCTGGTGAAGAAGGCAATTAATTGCCCTCCAGGATTTCCTGTCAGGTGTAAATAAGAACAGGATCTACCAAAGAGAAATGAAAAACTCACAGTTATGGCTCTCCTTCATTTTATAAATAACCCATTTTCATTTTGGTGCTCCAGATAGTTTTCGTTTCAGTATTTGCTTTTCATACCTTTATAAAAAATGTTGATAGAAACGCAGTCAACATT